TGATTTACRTTTTTGCATTAAATTTAGGGCTTAGTTGGGCTTGCAAGGCAAGGCAAGGAATGAATTTTCGGAAATGTTTGTCCCTATGTGGAATGCCATGATTTGACCTAAATGTTTTTACCATTTAAATGTTTTTTTTTCCAGATTTTGTAAAGGAGTGTATGAGCACAGCAGCTGCTCTTGCAGCTGCCATTGGGCCTCTGTGTTGCTTAGAGACGCTTCYACAGTGGCTTCTGGGTGCATTCCCTGAGCTAGGTAGAGAAGCTGGATCCATTTCAAGTGGTTATATATAACTCGGAGTTATGATCGGAGTTTGACTTCTCAGCCTCCAAATTTAAAAGAGGTGGTTGAGTAGAAGAAATAGGCAGCCCTTCTTCCTGTGCTCTTCCTTACATACTTATATAGAGTATTTATTTTTGAGTGAGACAGAAGTTTTATTYGGGAGTGATGTTTGTGGAATGAATATTTCAGTCACAAAGCTTCACTGTTATGTTTGCATTTAATCTGTTTCATAAATCATATGGCAGAGTCCTAGGGTATTTAGATCCCTTATTTGTAGAAGTCCTGTTAATGTTTATGGATAGAAATGTTTCTATGACAAACAAAGGAAGAAAATATACATGCTGGATTGTTCTCTCAGTAAATATATCTTAAAGAGAATCAAGTTTACAAGCATTTTTCCTGAGTAATAAATTCATGGCTTCAGGGAAGAGTAGACAAGCTTAATAGTAGAGAAGGGACAGATTTGTTTGCATTTCAYGAAGAACAGTTTGTGTAATTGTTGCACAGTTGCAGCACTATCTGAAATCATAACCATGCAATTTCTTGATTAGGTTCTGTTTCAGTTCAGGTTTTGCAGACTGCCTGGAGTCTCGGCTGCCATGTCTGCAAGGGATGCTSTACCATGATGAAGCTTTAGCAGTTGTCCACTTCCTAAAAACCAGAGCAGAGTTGTGTCATTGTGAAGCTGACTAATGGTTTTACCATCTGAYGCTGACTAGAACAAAGACTTTCTCATATTCTATTCATAATACTTGCACACACRTTCCACTTTTCACAAGTAAAAGGACTTAGTTGGTGTACCTTTGAATTCCAGTTCATTCTTTTGTGGAGATGATAATCTATGGAAACAATTGTTTCAGGGTAGAAGCCCCAAATTACTATGTTGTCATACTTCATTATTCAAAACACATTTTTTACAGAATAAATATAACGCTCGTTGGTTCTCATGCGTGCACCATCCAATTACTAGGGCCTGTTTTCAATTTCATGTCTTTATATTACACTGATGAAAGTCCATTCTAGATGAATGATGAAAATAACTAGTGACTGAAAGAACTGGAGAATGTTCTTTAGTAAAATCATTTCTCAAATCTTTACTCTTTTCCTCAATGGATCTTTTGGTTCTATTTTAGGATGTTGCATGCAGTATTGGTTTGGCTTTTACATTACTTAGAAGCATGTTGAATTTCTTTGTTCTCTTTAGTTCCAAACAAAATCTAGAGCCTTACTGGCCTGAACATTTGGATGATTTCTGTAAGCATATGTTCTCATCATCTTTGTATGCACACGAACCTACTTACACACTGGGACGCTTCACAACTGGTAAAATGTGAGCTTTTTAGTATGATGGGAGTACTGAATAAAGCTTTTATGTTACAGAGTTATTTCATCTTTAAGTATTTTGAAGATAAGCCAGTGGACTTTGACATGCAGAAAATGAGCTCTGGGCAGCCAGCACGAGGGGGTTGCTCTCTGTTTCAGGCCCAGCAGCGAGCTGTGGTGCTGGAGCTGCTTGTGCTGCTTGTGCACGATGGGCAAATGCAGCGAGCGCTGAGGGTCACCCTCGTTTCGCTGCCTGCTGATGGAGCAAGCGCATCCTGCTTGCATGCGCGGCGGTCACTTCAGCTGATGTACTCAAATTTAGAAAGGTCTGTGGAGCGTGTGGCTCAGGTCTTGCAGGAAATTTAAAGGCATGCAAGCAAAGAGGAAAATGCCTGAATCAGTCTATATTTGATGCTTAATACTCGTTCATTTTCATTAGAAATAGCAAAATTGTATTTTTTTTTTCACTTCAGTAGCAACTCGCAAGAGTTGGTATCTAGCATTGGTTGTGGAGGTAAGGACAGGAGAGGAAAGAAACCTGCCCATCCATAGGAGGTGCAAGGCTGCAGAAGCRTCTAGCTGCCTCCCAGCTCGTAGGACATCTTGCTGCAGGTGTTGCCTCAAACCTGCAGCAGAGCCTGTGCTSTGTGTGTGTGTTGGCATTTGCTAGTGGTTTCCTCACTGAATCCATGGAAGGTGCTTCTAAACATCCTGTGCCTGGCTCGTGTCCCGGGTAGGGCGTTGTTCRCAGGAACCTTCTCACACACCAGCTTTCCAGGCAAAGTGGAGCAGAAGCTCTGACCCAGTACTGACTGCTGCTGTCTGTACTTCTGTGTGGAGCCACAAACTGTTGTCTTCGGAGCTTCACATGAGACTTGTTTGTTGAAACATTTCTCCTTTTTACAAACCTATATCAAGTAGCACCAAAAAGAAAAGAAGATTTTTCCCATTTGTGAAATTATCCTTAAGAAGCTTCTGCTGCTTTTAAATTAATGGACAAGGAAGGGGTAAAGGGGTGCAAATATTCACAGCTGCAGTGTGTTTGCTGTACAGCCTGTTTGCTGTAAGGTCTGTCCTGCTGTGATGCAGGAGGCAGCATGTTGCAAAAGTAATTCCCTGCTTCAAAGGTCAGACATGTGATGGCAGAGAATAGGCCCAGGAGCAAAATGAGAGCCTTATGAACATTACAGTCATTCTTGTTTATCATAGTTATGTCTGGAAAAACTACAAAAGACAAGTAAAAATAAAGAAGAAATTCTCAAACTTTAATTAGAATTGGAGGTAAATCCCCTTTGAATTATTTTGACTAGGGCTGTCACCATTTTGTTGATGGCATTAGAAAGGTTGTTAAGTGATAATTTGAAAGAATCGTTATTGAAATGTTGATATGAGACTGCAGATAAGGTAAAATAATTATTAAACAGTGCCCAATTTAGGGGAGAGGAAGACAAAAATGTCACAGAACCTAAGGGGATATACTGATACTTCGTGACTTCCTGCTGCACATGACTGTTCTAAAACAAATAACCCAGCTTGTTTTCAAATAGGATTTTAATTAGGAAACACTGATGAACAGAACAATGTGGCCTCATGAGTCAGCAGAAGAAATGTATTTTGTTATCAAAAGATACAATATGCAGCATTTTGATGCTAATTATTTCAATAGTCACTTTAGACAGAATGATTAGTTTGTTGCTGAGGGGTRGTTACACATTTTTGATGTCTACAGCAAAACCCTGGATGATTTATCATTTTTAAGTTGAAAGCCAGCTGTTAAACTGAGGGAAAGGGATTTAGTTTCCTGTCAGTTTCCTCTTTGGAAAAAGTGATGTGCGCAGACTGAAAATATTTCCAGTTTGGGTAAAGCATGTTTGTAAATGCCTTTGGGGAGAGTCATATTTTGATGGGCAAAGAAAGGACCTGCTTTCAGTTTATAGAAAAAAAAAATGTTTAGAGAAACATTTTGAGAAATCCAAGGGGCGTTTGTTGTCCTGCGCTTGGGCGAAGCACCCGCGGCGCGGCCGGGCAGCACAGCGCGGGGCCAGGGCGGCTCCTTTCCTGGCCCGCTGCACTTTGAGCTYTTGCACAGGCTCGGCAGTGGGGCCGGCAGCCCACGTCGCAGCGCCGAGGCGCTGGGCTTTGCTCTCTGTGACTGTGTGATATCCACACGAATGAATGCAGCACGTGAAGTAAAATGCATGGGGAGAGCATGTGGAATTCTGTTGTTTTAGACCTGTTTTAGACCTGTTTTAGACCTGTTTTAGACCTGTTCTGTTGTTTAGACCTACAAAAGGTAGGGGAAGTACTGAAATGCAAATGTTTGTGTGGGGATAAATGTGTGTTTCCTAAGACTTTTGAGTGATTAAAGAAATAAAATTGTTTTTCTGTCAGTGTTCTATGTAGATAGAATGAAGCAAGTAGTAAATGTACAAAAAAGAGATAACGTGGAAGAGTCAAAGCACACTCACACATGTAGTGTGAGAATGCCTTAGTGTAAGACAGACRCAAATCACCTCTGAGGAATCGCAATTACTTCAAGATGAGCCTTGGCTGAGATTCAGATTTGAARTTACTACAGTTCTATGATAAAGTGTTTATTATAGAACATTTTTCTTTCTTTTATTCCTTAGCTCTAGCAGCAGTCCTGTAAAAGCAGTGTTTTATTTGCCACATAGTTTCTGTTGTATTCCCTACCTGAAACTATTTTCCTTTCATTAACTGGAAACATTATCCCTTGGGATGCTTTACTATAAAGTGTGAAAAAAATATCCCATGGGAGCATTCTTTCTCTGACAGAGAAATAGATAAGAGTTCTCCTGTAGGTATTTTTCCCAGCTTTAATTTCTAGAAAACTAGTAGCTCAAAAGATCCATTAAATCCCAGATTTCCTTTGGGTAAAGGTAAAATAATAATTTAATATTGAACTGTAATATAATGATACAAAACTACCATTTTATTTGTCATAGCAAGGAAAAAGATACAAATAGTCATCTGTGGTTTTGAAGCAGAGCAACTTGGAAATGGGTGTAACAAAGTATTTTAAGAAATGAATAGTTTTCATTTATTTTACATGGTAGTTGCTAAGTGAGTAACTCAGGATATTACTAATAATTGCTGTGTAAAGTTAAATAATGCTTGAAAACTCCATTTCCCTGCTTGACTCATGCTCTGAAGATGACCTCTACAACAAAAATAGAGATTTGCTTAGGTTACAGTGAAAATGATGRTATTTGACAGGGTACCCACATAACCCCATAATAACCGCATTTGCATTTGAACACAGTGTGCTGGATGTCTGCATAAAATGACACTGGCAAAATGATGCTATTAGTTCTGAGAATTTTGGTATACAGGACTTACTTGAGGATTTTCCTGTTTTTGCTTTGTCTGTACAGCGTTGAGGGCGAGGCTCCAAGTAGTGAAACTGGCACATCTTTGGACAGTCCATCCGCTTACCACCAAGGACCTATAACGCACAGTTCAGCTCTCAGCCCAGACCATTACGATCACTCTGCCTACGGGCTGTATTCCATCTCCCCGGGGCAGCAAAGATCTCGGAGGCCGAAGCTTCAGCATTCAACATCCATACTGCGGAAGCAAGCAGAGGAGGAAGCTATTAAAAGGTCAAGATCACTTTCTGAGAGCTATGAACTTTCTTCAGACCTACAGGATAAGCAGGTATTTGAGCTATGTTACCTCATTTATGGAAAAGGCAACATGTCTTTAAGCTAGGAAAAATCTTTTGATGGCTTCACTTGTGATGCTGATAATATCATTTTTCCTGTAACCAAGTTAGTTCAATACAAGTGTAGTACTGCTGAGCTTTTTGACTTTCTCTCTATACTTCCGCCCTCTTAAAAGATGTTAATGTTAAAAGTAAAAACACTTCTCCCAGGAATTGTAATTTCATGCTTGGGATTCATATTGTTTATAAGAATGTAACAATGTAAAATATTTGTATAAGAAAATGAGTCATTTTAAACTCAGGATGTCTTTGTTGCTGCTGAATGAAAGGAAGGAATTATTGCTACTAACACACTCTCAAATCCGTAGGATGAATTTGAGGCCTTTGCCTGGTTGGTAAAAGTAAGCAAATATGCAGTATATACTTGATTTCACTGATAGCTGAACAGTAGCTCCCATCAGTTTGTGTTTTTTACTAACATGTTAGTTAGAGAACTAACTTTGTTTGCTGCAGACCTTTGTGGTATGTTACCCAGTTGCTCTGACATATATAAACATGGACAGCATGAAAACAGGCAAAGTGCTGCAGATGAGAAGGGAGCTATTCCTGATTTGGAGTCATAAATTGATAGCATGTTAAATTCATACGGGCTAAGTCTTATTTGCCACCTATTTGATTTCCCAAAAGTTTAACTTTTGCCAGCTTTACTATTAAATCACACTTCCTTCTGAGCTTTAATATGTTACTTGCCTTTCCACCTTTGACAGTCGTGTTAGCTAAATGTTGCTTAAGGAATTGCTGTGGAGTKGTAGGCTCAACTAAAGAAATTTCTGCACTGAGGATGTTCCAGAGAGACTAATTCTGCCTGTCCAGTTTATGCCAGTTTGGGAGAGAATCAGGGTTGCAGTTATTATTTAGTATTTGTTCAGGGAGTCCTCCACAGTAAAAAGTCACAATGAAGATTGATACCTGAGATTTGCTTACTGTTCTTTAAAAGCTCTCATTGACAACTCGGAAAAATTCCCACCAAACTCTCCTGGTGTATAATACTCAAGGATTATATCATTTTCCATATGAACCTAAAGGGCAGTAAACTTTTTTTTCCCCCCCCATGTATAAAGTCCAAACATTTTTTGAGATGGTTTATAGCATTTTAGATTGTATTTATTTTTTCACACCAGCTTTACAAGTTTTCTTTTGGTTTGACATTTAATTTTGAAAGGGCGACTAAATTAATGAGTAATTCAKAGTTTGTTTTGAGATTAGTCCAACAGAATAATCTCTTACAATGCATTAACCACACATGACCTAATGTATACTACTGATAGCAGTTGTAGCAAACGTCTAAGAGCCAGTGGCAGGGTTGTGATAGCTCTTAATTGTTGTGTTGTTTTTTTTTAATAATCAGAATGCCATACAAGTAACCTCATTTCCTCTTCAGGCAGCATGGAATATTAACCCCATTTGAGCATTAGTGATATAGAAAACTATTCCTAGCTTAGCTGACCTGAGTTTTGTGATGTACTCAGAATAGTATTACTTCAGCAGTGGTCCTAGCTGGTTTCCTCAGTTGTGCCAGTAACTTGTGCATAAGACTTTATGCATCTGGATACAAAAGCAGATCAGTGATTCAGATTTAAAAATAACCTATTCCAAAAAAAAAAAAAAAAAAATATTCTTTTTAATGTGGAAGGCGAATGGGAGGTTCTGAACCTCACAGTAGCATGGAAAAAAATACTTCAGCTACACCTGAATGGAAGGCACAAAGGACTCTTAGAGAGTGTTTTTAGTAGCATCGAACAGCTACTGATTACACAGAAWGGGGAAAAAGGCCATCTAAGCATCAGTATGTGGACAAAACAGTCCTTAGAGAGGTCCCTCAAGTATGGAGTGTGTGTGCATGTAAATAAAAGATAGGGACTAATGGAAAAGGAAATCTGGATTTGGGAGAATGGAGAAATGGCATTTGAGTCATTTGAGTATTATGAAAATTGCATGTTTGTAAGCAAAAAAGCTTCCAGAGAGCTGGCATTTACTATGGGTCCTACTACACACACTGATTTGTCATGGGTGTTTTGGGTTTGTGAGTAATAGGGGTCCACCAAAGATTAATCAGGAAGACATAAACTGAATACTGAAAAAAAAAAAAAACCGAACTAAAAAACTAAAAATATTCATCTGATTCAGTGGTTTTAAATAAATGATTTTTTCATATTTTGGGAGGAAAGATCTGAAAATACCTAATAAGTCATAGTATTCCAAAGATTGTGATTTTTTTCTAGATTAAACTGATAGAATTTATAATGAATATTTTGCATATTCATTGTATTAATTGGAAATACTAGTAATRTTGAATATGATTACGACATGATAAAAGATTTGAAACTCTGAARAGATAGAGACTTTGTGCATGTTTGTATTCTCTCAGAACAATAGCTGCTGAACTATAAGGTCTGGGAGATTCAGATTTCTTTTGATTCCAGGCTTGGATAAAACTCTGCTACCTGTTTTTCATTCATGTAATCGTGTAGAAAATGACACAAGCCTGGTTTCATCATTGCCACTTACAGAATTTATTTCCAAAATGTTTGTATTACACCTGCATTTCACCTGAAAAACAATAACTGCATCATGCTATAGAGCCCTATATGGTTCACTTTGGCACATCAATCTAAATGTTTGAAAACTCAAATTTAGTCACATACATGCTCACARAATCTTAATTGCAGCATGTTAAGTCTATATGACAGGTTTGCATACCTATATTTCTGTGCTTTTCTTTTTATGGTGAACTTTTCAAGTGATTGTCCAGTTTGCTATTTGTGCAGTTGTTAGTCTGGAGCTTAATGATTTTGCTTTCAAAAACAGTATTAACCAAYGTGAAAAGCTCCCGACAATTGTCTTAAAATCATTTTTTTATATACTTGGAAGATATTTGCTATGTCATAACCTTCATCAAGTTACAAAGCAATTATGTTTCTTTCTTTTTCTAGGTGGAAATGCTAGAACGGAAATATGGGGGCCGTCTCATAACTAGACATGCTGCTCGTACTATACAGACAGCTTTTCGCCAGTATCAGATGAACAAAAATTTTGAGCGTCTTAGAAGTTCTATGTCTGAAAATCGCATGTCAAGACGCATCGTACTGTCCAATATGAGAATGCAGTTTTCTTTTGAAGGACCTGAGAAAGTCCACAGCTCCTACTTCGAAGGAAAGCAAGTTTCTGTTACAAATGACGGGTCRAAACTGGGATCCCTGGTACAATCTGAATGTGGTGACCTTGGAGAGTCAGCTACAATGAAGTCTCCTGCAGCATCTACTGATTTTGCAGATGCTATAACAGAACTGGAGGATGCTTTTTCCAGGCAAGTGAAATCTCTTGCGGAGTCCATTGATGATGCACTAAATTGCCGTAGTCTTCATTCTGATGAAGTCCAGACTCCAGATCAAGTCAGAAGTCGTGAAATTGAAAGAGATAGTTGTACTCAGAGTAAACCAGCAATCCATAAYGTGGATCACAGGAAGCTTGATGAGATGACAGCATCATACAGTGATGTTACATTATATATCGATGAGGAAGAGTTATCCCCACCCCTTCCTCTTTCCCAGTCAGTGGACAGACCATCCAGCACTGAATCTGATTTGAGGCTCCGCTCAGTGAACTCTTCCCAGGAGTACTGGTCCATGACCCACAAAGATGATAAAATAGACACGGATACGAGCTGCAGAAGCACCCCTTCACTGGAATGTCAGGACCAGAGGATGAGAATGGACCATCTGCCATTGCTGACTATAGAGCCGCCCAGTGACAGTTCGGTGGACTTGAGTGATCGCTCAGAGAGAGGATCATTAAAGAGACAAAATGCGTATGATCGAGGAATCACTAGTCAACAAGGAAGCCCAAAACACATCCCTCACAGTATCCCTGCCAAGATTATATCCCGAGAGGAACAGGAGACAAGACATAGGCCTCGGCCTATAGATAGTCATTTAGCTATTAATGGCACAGCAAACAGGCAAAGCAAATCGGAATCTGATTATTCAGATGGAGACAATGACAGCATCAACAGCACTTCCAACTCTAATGATACAATAAATTGCAGCTCAGAATCTTCTTCTAGAGACAGCCTAAGRGAACAAACCTTGAGCAAACAAACATACCACAAAGAAACTCGAAACAGCTGGGATTCCCCTGCCTTCAGTAACGATGTTATCAGGAAACGCCATTATAGAATTGGACTGAACCTTTTTAACAAGTAAGTACAGCGTTTCCTCCTCTTCCCTATGTTTGGTAGAATTGCAGCCACCTGACAAAAATTGTTTAAATGTGTCAGATAAGTAAAACTGAGGTCTAACATTGGCTTTTCCATCAAAGAAAAAAAAGTCCTTTCTTGACAATGAGAATAGATGGAGGGGGCAATAGGCCATGAGGTCAAACAGCGCCTTTTCTGTACTGGTGATGCTTGTTCATGTTAAAGGGGCTTGCAAGTACAGTAGACATCTTCACAGGTTTTTAGCCTTAGAGGAGAAATAAAGCAACTTTGTATTATAGTAAACTACTTAAAAGGATCAGAACCCTTCTTGTTGAAAAATGCTTTTTTTTTTTATTTCATCCTGACCTATTTTTGATGTTTGTAGATTCAACAGAATAGATTCAAAATTTTATTCCTGCTCTAGTCATGTAGGTGTGGAAGGCTTGTCCTRTGGACATTAAAAACAAAAAGCAGTGTGAGATTAGTTTTTCCATTTAACTTAGCAGAACCTCAATTTTTTTCAGTAGATTTCATCAAAATTTTGATGCTCACAATTTCCTTATAATAAGTTAATACTTATACATTAAACATTAACGTGTTTACATGTTAACCCATGTTAAAGGGTTAACATTAAACCCTTATAAGTTAACTTTGAACTTATTTAAGTTCAGCCCTCCTTTTCAGGTAGCAGTTCTGTGATTTGTTTTGTTTGGATTAATAGGTCGGTRGCTTATCATATAATAAGTATGTTGTAACACTGGAAATAATTTAAGTCTTTTGATGCTTTAATGTGAGGTTACATTGCATTAGAATGCTAAGTATGGATCAGATAACTTGGCTGTAAAACTTTCAAGTTCTTTTTAAGCCTTTGTAAAAGAAGTTAATAGGCCTTTTTAGGAATCAGTTGGAAGTGTGTAAGTCAGAGATCTTTGCAAATCTCCTGTGTTCATGAAACGGGCTGGGCTGGAAGGTATGGCAGTTTGCTTTTCTAGGCTATTTGAAAAAACCAGTTGCCCTTAGTGGTGGAGGGAGGTAGTAGTGGTGCTGTCTGACTGATGTTTAAAATGCTTAGTGTTTGCTTGTTATTTGTGTAGTAATTAATACTGAAGTGATCTATGATCAGTGGACTTCAGGCTTGATAATACAGCGTTTTGAGTCAATTGCAAAAGACAAAGGAAAAAAGGTGAATGGAAAAAGTGCTCAAGCAACATGCAGAGATGAATGAGAGCATTGGAAATTGTCACGTGCTTCTAAGTCATATTGGTAGGAGGCTCAGAGAGAAAAGCAAGTGTCAAAAACAGAGAAGAATAGGAGAGTCTGTTCTTTGAAAGACATCTTAAGATATCTTGCTGCATTGACTTGAATGCTGGGTAATAAACTTTTAAAAAGTGTGTGTATATATATATATTTAGACATACTACTTTTGACTGGCTGTGAGATGATTTCTTGCAGTTTGAGCAAGTAATTCTAAAATATAGCACTGCACAGCAGCTCCACTATGCTCTTTTGCTGTGTTCTTCCTTCTCCTCACTCTGTTTTGTATCCTGTGTTGATAAAGAACTGAAGATTCACAGTACTCTCTGCTGAGTCACTGTGATTGTGGTGATAGCTCAGACCCCATTAGCCCCATGTATTTTGCTTTTCAAGCAAGTGTCCATAGACACTGTGACATGTCATTAATAGCCTAATTTCTCCTCTTTGCTGTGTCAGAGATTAAACCATCACAGCACCTGACAGAGCATGAATCTGTACGCTTTCAGAAAGGAACCTGGGGAACTTCTGAAGCTTTATCTTTCAAAAAGTCACTGTTCTTTACCACAGTTGAAATTTCAGGAGATGCTTCAAGATTTTTCTTGCTTTCTTTACATGACTGTAATTTACAGAAGCCAAACTGCAATTTTCTGACTGGAGGCCCTTTATTAGACTAGCTGATTACAGGTGGAATGGAAAGTAAGCGTGACTGGTTCTAGCATGTCTAGTTCACTTAATTGCCATCTTTGCATTACAAAAACATAACATAGTAACATAACAAAACATTTGTAAGGCAAAGGTCATTAGAGAACGGAGAATACAGGACAGTAGAGAAGAAAACTTTAGGTAAAGTGATRCAATTTTAATCAATTTTATCACTTGATCATAGAATTTGTTTSAAACTGTAGCTTGGCGCTGCTGTGTCACCTTGGAACCTTACTGTTGATTTTAAAAGTGATTTTTTTTTTTTTAAAGCTGTTCTATGGTATCCTGTCTACCAGACTACCTATTGTGACCAAAACAGGATGATTTATGCAGAATAAACGGCAGCTGCTCCTGTACATGGTTAGGTTTTGAATGGAGCTAATGAACATSGCCTGCGAACAGGCCGGCACGGTGTGTGCTCACATCCCTCGTCTTCCTAGGGGAAGGGCTGCAAGTTAGTGCAGGGAAGCCTGGAGAGACCAGAGGTGGTGATAGGCATTTTCCTCAGCAAACTCAGAAAGGGATTGTGGCCTCGAAGAAATGACTGTAGAAACTATCCTTTCCTTGGAGGCAGGAGGAAAACATTGTGTAGAAGAGTTTATTTTTCAGGATCCCAACTCTTCCTACGCAAATGCAGCCTTTGAGACTTTACCAACACAGCTT